TGGGGGCTATGCCCTGTGCAAGGTCGCTGTGGGTGGCCTGGTGTCCCCTTCCCAGCTCAGACACCAGTTCTGCGGGGCCCCCATCCCCTACTCTGGGTGGCACCTGGGGCAGGGAGTTTCCCACAATGCATTCGGTGTGGTACTCTGATTGAAAGGGCTGCTGGGGTATGCCACCTCAGAGAGGGGGTGCCTTGCCTCTGCCCTCCACCCTGTGCCCCCCACCCCTCCTGTAGCTCAGAGCACACCCTGTAGAGAGGAGGACCCACATGGTGAGCCACCAGCATGGAATGACTGTCATGAAGACCATCCGGGAGGGAGAGGTGAGGCTAGGGGGGGGGGGCTCTGCCCTCTGCCCCTTGGATGGGTCACATCCTGGGAGCGGGAGGCATGGCTGGCCTGTCCCACCCAGGGGGTGCTGTCCCTGGGGATGGTGGGGCTCTGGCTGTCCCGTGAGGTGGCCGGGTCTCTCTGCAGGCAGAGCCACAGTGCCAGAGCTTCTCCTACGGCCACGCTGAGCTGCGGGGGCTGCTGCTGGAGGGTGCCAGCCTCCTGCTGCTACGGGTGCTGGCGTGTCGGCGGGCAGTGCCCCCCGGCCTCGTCTTCCAAGCCCTCGACACCGAGGGCCACCTCTGCACCTCCAGCTACGTGAGCTGCTGGCTCGGAGGGCCTGTGGGATGGGGGTTTTGGGCCAGGTTGAGAGTGCCAGGGTGGGATGCGGGAGATGGGAGCGAGCAGAGTGTGGTTGACAGCGGGGGGATGGCATGGGGATGGCACCCAGGGGCAGGGGTGACTCTAGGACAGGGCTGACCCCTGACCGTGACCCCCCCAGCAAGCCCTGGGCATCCAGCAGCAGGCAGTGGGCTCGGCAGAGGCAGAGGTGTTTGTGATCAAGCGAGCCGTGCACTCCAGCACGGGCGTCTCCACCATCTGGCACAGCAGCTTCCTCCCCAGTGGGTAAGGGCGGGGGTCCGGCCAGGGGCACCCCCAGCCCTGCCAGCCTGGCAGGGACCCAGGAGGGGGGATCATCAGCTCCTCCTCCCGCAGGCGTTTGGCCCGGCTGGCACAGGTTGGCTGCCCGATGCTGGTGCTTCTGCAGGATGAGTCCGTCCTCGGCGAGACAGGTACTGAGGGGGGGAGGCCTGTGCCCCCCAGCACGGGCAGCCCCTGCCCGCTGTCTGGCAGCGGAGGGAGGAACGTCCTGCCCTGCCTTTCTGCTGCCAGGTGGGGTCAAGCCCCAGCCCCCCTTCCCCAAACAGCCCTTGGACTGGGAGGAGGACATGCAGCTCTGGTCCTGGTTCCTGGAGAGGAAGGTGAGATGGGGGGGACAAGGGGACATGGAGCTGTGCCATTCCCCAGCAGGGTCTGCCCTGGGGTGCCCAGGAGGCACAGTGGGGGAGCAAGCTGGCCAGCATCCTCCTCTACACCTCCTCAAGTGTGGGAAAGGACCCAGGCATCCTGCCCCTCGTGCCTGGCACAGTGCCTGGGGTGGTGGGACGTC